GCATTCCTAACATACAAAACCCACCCACCACGACCATCCTCTCTGCCATTCAACCATGCTGCTAACCCTCCCACACATACAAAAACAATCAACACACCCATGCATAACGAAAATAACCAAAACAACCACTTACCATCACAGGTGATGTGAGTAGGTACGGTAGCGTTAGTGGCTAGTGGGAAGTGTTTATGTAGCCTGAGTCAGACGAAGGTACGAGGGGGGGTAAAGGATTTGTGCGGTAGTTTGGTGGTTGGGTGTTTAGGTACGAGAGTGTCTGCGGTGTCGGTTGCGTAACCAACGCACTTGCTGAAACGCATTTTATCACGAACTCACACGACCCAAAATCATGTCCCAATTGGCATGCTCCAACGTCCATCTCCATTCCTAACATACAGAACCCACCCACCACGACCATCCTCACTGCCATTCAACCATGCTGCTAACCCTCCCACACATACAAAAACAATCAACACTCCCATCCATAACGAAACTAACCAAAACAACCACAATGGTAGCTTCCACTACACTCATGCACGCCTTCACTGACACCATTTAGAAACATATCGGACTCAGTGTGCTTCCATGTTCCCCCGCACTTCCTAAGCACGCTATCAAACGTTCCACCGACAAGCGTACTCTCGGATAGACGGCAGAGCCAGTGCATTGCAACGCACTTGCTGAAATACATTTCGGTGCGAATGCACGCTAGCGCAGACCATGCCATACATGCTTGCAACATCACAAATAACCGGCAATAGAGGTGCTGTGGCTCTGCCATGATGCAGTTGTAGAGTTTTGTAAATTCACAGACATACGTATATGTTCCTGGGCGTTGTGTCTTCTGTCCTTCTGACTATGCACTACATTCCATTCAAGCGGTTACTGACGACTGCATGATACGGCAGACCAAGACAAACGCTCGCCTTCTAGAATGTACTTGAAGCCAAATGAACGGGAGTCTAATGCTTCGGAGAAGCGCGTCGTCGATAGTCGAAGCAAGCAATGTAATTTGTTCAGAGGTATTTTCGCGGCACTCACTACCGAGAACAAGGGGCTTTCTAAAACCAATGGAAAGAGAACGGCGACAGCGTCTCCTAACACCACCCCTGCACCGCTGTGCAGACCACGGACAAAGCCATATCGCTAAACTCCACCCTTGATGCAGTTGTAGAGTTTTGTAAATTCACAGACATACGTATATGTTCCTGGGCGTTGTGTCTTCTGTCCTTCTGACTATGCACTACATTCCATTCAAGCGGTTACTGACGACTGCATGATACGGCAGACCAAGACAAACGCTCGCCTTCTAGAATGTACTTGAAGCCAAATGAACGGGAGTCTAATGCTTCGGAGAAGCGCGTCGTCGATAGTCGAAGCAAGCAATGTAATTTGTTCAGAGGTATTTTCGCGGCACTCACTACCGAGAACAAGGGGCTTTCTAAAACCAATGGAAAGAGAACGGCGACAGCGTCTCCTAACACCACCCCTGCACCGCTGTGCAGACCACGGACAAAGCCATATCGCTAAACTCCACCCTAACTGGAATGACCCGCAAAGTGTGTCACGTGGATAAATGCGACCCACAGGCTGGAATGGGTTTCCTCGCATCTCAATACATGCCACTGCTACCGCAATTCACTTTGCATTATTTAACTGGAACACTTGTGGAATCGATTGCAGTCTCTGCATGACCATGGATGAGGAATACGGCAATCTTGCTGAAAGTGAGCAACCCCACAAATCTGAAAGCCGGGTTGCCATGCCGTAGATGTAGTGGAGTGCCACAGCACCACCAGTTAACAGTAAGTGAAAGCAGGCCCAATCAAGAGTGCCAAACAACCAAATATCCTCCGGCATGGCTACTCTTGCATGCGCACAGTTATCACCTCCTCGTCGAAGACAGCAGCGGCTACACTTGCTTACTTCTGCTGAATCTGCGATACTGTGCAAGAATTTTCCACTGTTGTCAATCCCGAGCGCCTATCGCGCTCATCAGTCGCACAGAATCTATTCGGCGAAGTATCCGCATCTTCACTGACTGGTTGCTTGGTGTTGTTGGGAAGCCACCCAGAACAGTTAGCACGATTGTGCGACGTGAACAAGGGAGGCAGACCCTCATTATAATTCGCCTGTCACAATAGGCTTCCGCCCAACTCCATGCACTAGTTGAATTCAGAATGTCGCTCTCATCGTAGCGCAACAGAAGCCGGACGGTGGCACGTACAAACGCCACACGCCATTATCTGCGCCGAACTAGGCTTGCACTCATTTACAGCTACCCGTAAAACTCGATGAGAGGGCAGTGAATGCCATGCCTTATTGCAAGGATAAGGGTCTAGAGGTACGACCGGTCTGTGTCTCCCAGCGCACCCTTCACACCTAGACAAGGCGGGCCATAATCGTCTACTATAATCGTGTCCTCTGGGCATAAGCAGCTCTATTTGTCCGTTCACTGCAGGGTCCTTTGCCGTATGCCTGAACTGGGGACGTTCACAAAGGTTTTCAGACGTCCCTGAGTACTTCAGAGACAACGCACCCTGCGCACGCACAACAACCTCGTCGCGTTGTGCGTGAAAACATATCACAAATGCCGCACCCAGGAACAAGTATTTCGTGGCAAAATCAAGCGTGTATATATATGATTGGCTAGGCCTGTCATGAGTGCCCCTACTGATGTATCTATACTGATGTGTAGGCACTGGATGACTCTGTACGTCAACAAACGAGGCAATTTTCATTAGGGGCTACCTCAGCTAAGTTCGCTGTGTCTCGGTTAGCTGATGTGTAATTTGCGCCCTTCTGAGAAACAAAGAGGGATGGATAGTGTGTGCAGCGCCCATGTGAACAACGGTTGTTAATTGCCAGCACTTCTTAAAGACAAAATTCTGGGGGGAATTCTTCTCGGCAAATAACGAGAAACTTTAATACCCTCGCTGGGCAGCTCCTACAACGGTGTGGCAGCAATGAATAACTAAAACGACAACCTGTATCGCAAGTTTCTTCATCAGCGTTCACTTATCGGAAGGCTTCCCCAAATAATTAATGGGTCTCCTGTGGAAGGTCCCATATCCGTATGAATGTAGTACATCCCACTCATTTAGCGTACTTCTGCATGCACCAGAGGCATTAAGTCTGCATTTCTGTTTAGTTCACTTCATAGCCGTTGAAGCCAGTCAGCCCTAATATCCTAGGCCCCCGTTATCCGTGTATTGCATCTCCATTTGTGAGCTCCCTGCATATGCATATGCGCTTGCATATACGCATCTAGGTGTTTGGCCTCCTCACGCGGCCACAGACAGGACCGTCGAACGCAGCAGATTGATGCGCCTTCTAAGAGCCTATATGGTTCACGTCTGCTGAGTCCAAATGTCCATTTCCTCTCCGCAAACCCTCAGGGATATGTTGCACCGAGGTCAAACTCTTCTAGTTCAATCCTGGACCCTACGGGTCTCGCCACTAACTCTCAAGCCTAAGGCATCTGACAAGGCGCTGCTCCATGCGGTCTACAACGTGCTATGGCTAAGGGCTACGGATATGTTAAAGGTGCGGAACTTGGCAGCACTGCACATGCGCATCCAGGCCTTTGGCGAGATGGGAGATGGCCTAACTACCGCATCACAGTGTTGATCATTATACCATCAAATGCTCAAAAGAAGGCAAAGCACAAGCCAAAGGTCCTGCGAAGAAGCACTGAGAGGAGAAAGAGAGCCACTGACCTCAAACACTGCACAAAACATTTCCATTCGTTTTCTATCAGCTTTGAACTTGTTATCTTTGAGTTAACCGGAAAGAAACGACATACTTAAACAGGAGGGGAGGGTAGGCACAAAGAAGTATTTGCGGTGAGAACTGACAGTTGCTGCAAGTTAACGCAAGCAAGAGCTTGTCGACCCAACAAGGTAAGTGCACAACCACTCATCAGGAGGAGTAATTTATGTTGTTTTTGTCTCTATTATTATCTCGCTTCATCAATGGTATTGTGCAGCATCAGGCGCAACGCTGTAGCATTGTGTATGCACTTTCATAGCTCCTCTCGGTGCATTCGTCTGACGTCGTGCACTGCTACAACAGCATGTGCTGCTATTGCCCATATTTGCAGTTCAACGCCCAATCACATACAATAAGGGTGTATGCCATTAGAATGAAGTCCCAGTCTACTTATTCGGTTTGCGTACCCTGGATGATTCCCAAAAGCCCTCTCCTGATCCATGGACAAGGTGTTGTGTTTCCTCTCAAAAATACATCAAACCTAGAAATACCACAACGGTCCATCCTTTCGTGCCCGCCACTTCTTAATGTGTTTAAGTATGCGGATTAACGAATCCAAGGGCTTGGCACCTACTTTTTAGGGGATAGCGACAACTTTGGTTGCTCACCGCCTGCAAAACCACCGTAACTGACTCGGTCAGTCTCCAGCTGGACCATTCGGCGAAGGGAAGAATTAAGTTACATTACATTTATATTGTTAACTTCATGGAATATTATATAACGCTTCCCAGTAGAACTCTACAGCTTCATGCCGGAACCAGTATCCATGCATACCCTATTAGCAAGCACAAACTATACTGACAATATCTTCGATGCATGTAAATCGATGTATGCTTACATATGCAAGTAAATCAGTTTGCCGCCACAGAATGCTCATGCAGATATAGTCGTGGCATGTGTGCGCACATATATATATGCATTTATAAGCAGTAATATGTATGCAATGCTACAAGTTACCACAGATGAATAGGCGCAGCGTATATATTTACCTGTGTACAGAAGCCGCTTAAGAAACAAAAGTGAGTGTTAACCAGTGTTTCTGGAATTGTCTTGTCCCTTTGTAGGACATTGCACTACCAAGGAATCCTTCGTTAAACGGCAGCATCCTGTACACCCAAATTCCATTTTGCCAACGGTAACTGTCCAAGAACGTACTACAAAACCGTGCAAAAGGGGATGGAAAGGCGTCCGCTCTACCCAAAGACCGGATATGCATAGGCGTTACAATATGAGAAGGCGATTCTCGTCTATGTAAACCAATACAGCATATAATAAACATTGATCTCACATAGCATCTCCACGAGGGTCCCTCTTCGGGGTCATCGGCGAGTCTCCTCATTATGTAGGCGATGCGTGTGTTGTAGGTATTCTTGAAATGTTGAAAACAGAAAACGATAATAAAGGACAAGGCAGCTATAACAGAAAAAACGGCAACAAGTGATACAACCGGTACGGCACGACTCCTCCCTATCCTGTACCAGCGGTGAGTGTACTCGGGCAGGCCTTCCCCCTCTGTCTGCTCGTTAGTAGATGAAGATACCCAATTGCTGCTTGAATCAACGCTGACAGAAAGGGATGAGCTGGGATTGTTGGTGTAGATGTGCGAAAATGACCCAGTTCCGTTCGATCCCTGCGCTCCCGAGAGGCGCACTTCTGCGCTCTGAGCGCTTGTAAAACCGATAAAACCATTCGGTAAGCATGGTAGAATGCTAGATAAGGCCAAAGCAAACTTCGGAAACTTCATTTCCAAAGGCGTTTTGCCTAGAAGGCGCGCGAAGTCAGCTAGAGAGACACCTGACGAGAGAGGCACGCGGAAAAAAATTCAGAGGGCTCTTCGTCTAAAGTCAAGCCATGTCAATTAAAAAACAAAATTAACTGCGCTTTCAATGTGCGTGCTAACTATAAGAATAATTTAACCCAAGTTTTCTCAACGCCTACTCATGGGGCCGTGTCTTGTGGAATGGGTGTCGTCTGCAGCTTGGCAGGTGGTGTTGTTGCGGACTTTGTCGGTTTTTTGCAGTTATTTCACTAAGTGGTCATTTTCAATGACCCAAATCCAATGGATTGTTTGGTTTATTTGATTTAAAGGTCAATTCTACCACACGGAAAGTTTAATATGATTCCTCTAATTAATTCGATCTAACAGCCAAGCGCACCATTGTTACAGTTGTGACGCCTGCTTGCATGAAACGCATCTTGCCTCAAATAATTCTCATAATCTACTCAAAAATACTCATTTTTGCTGTTGCTCACTGCCTTTTGACGTTTAACCTTGCGCACGAGTCTAACTCCATTCCAGTATCTAGGGACTTACAATACCAGTCGGGTGCAGCCGGTTTCCAGTCCAGTGTCTATGCAACCGTTCCCAAGAACTGTTTGTCCTACCTTTTTAATTGTGAAATTTTGTTTCTGTATTACACTTTTCAAATTGCACTCCTTTATTTAACATGTCTAGGAATACCTAGGGGTTCGTCTAGCCCAGTTTGCACGATGCTTCCTTTCGCTACCACTACTGTGTGTGTCCGATGGAGGTAAGTCTGGCGAGAGTCGGCATCTGGCCATTCCTCACTTTTAATAGTCAACAAGAACGCGAGCAGAACGGTTTTAAAAATTGTCGAAAGTGCTTGTGTTCACATGTAATATGTGTTGTTTGTACTTCGATGCAGTGCAGTTCGGCAACGGGTAGTACCAACGGTGTAGTGCTGCAACGGGGGTTCTAGGCCTTAACCCGAGGGCTATTATCTGCAGCAATGAAGCCAAATTCTTGACGTAGGAGTTCTTAAGAACCATCCGGCTTCCAGTTTGAGTCTCCAGGGTGGCTACCCATATTAGGCCAAAGGTCTGTGGTCGCTGTGGATGTCCAGGCCATGGTGTGCTAACAGTTGCGACGTGACGTGCCTTGCTGTAGCCCATGCAGCAAGACAACCCAGCATGCAACCACCATCAAGTATTCTTTGCTGCAGTCACTAACATTTTAGGGAGTTCTTTACCGTTTTTAGCTTGCTTGCTGGCCTCCTACTTCCCTGCATGTTGCGTACTAAGGCTGAGTAAGTGCACTGTGCCAAAGCGAATAGACTATGATACAAAGGGTACGAAACTCGAATGTGGGGGCTTCTTGGCCTGTGGGATACATGGGTGTTAGTAAATCATGAAGTTGCCTACGGGTTTGGATTATGTATATGAGCCACTGGCAGCAGCCTACACCTTCATTCGCCTCAGCATGAGTTCGCCGAAACCAGGAGTACTAGCTGTAGGCAAGCAAAACGAGCATCTGGCCTCCTACCCACGTTATTTCAATGTCTGCGACTGCAGCTACAAGAACACTCTACTGCTGCTGCACCTGCAAGAACAATCTCTTGCTGCTGCATCTGCTGCAGGAGCTGATATCTAACAATTTCTGCTACTGCTACAGTGTCTCCACGAGTTCGCAACTTCTGCTTACTCGCCCGCTCCCTCTATCAGCTGCCTTTGTCTAGAGGGAAACGAATAGAAGGGTTTTGCTTTGTACCGCTACTACCTACAGGCCGTAACAATACCAAAAGGTGCCATCCGTTGCCTAATATACAAGACTTCGACGTACACCGTTAATAACATGAAGCAACATAAAACTCAACAACATCCTTTTAATAAGATCGAAGGCGTGTCGAAACTGCTGGCACTTCTGTTGCACGTTTTGCCGCTGCATCACCTGCAAGGCATTGCAGGGAATCACTGCAGCATCGCGGAAGGCTGCCGCATCATCAGCAGCAGCAGCAGCAAGAGCAGACACCGCTACGTTTGCTGCACAGCCATATGAGCACTTCAGTTCAAACATAGGCAGCCGTAGCAAACGCAACCGCAGCAGCTGCAGCTCTGGCTGTTGTTACTGCATTGGTGGGGTGTCAATACTCTCGAGCTGAACATCCTTATCTTCGCCTGCAATTTGTTTACTTATATGCACTCCGATTATTTAGTTGTCTTCGTTGTGCATATAGGCTTGTTCCCCTATCTCTATTTGCCTTCTTCCCGGTCTATGTTGCGAGGAGTGCGGCAGTTGATAGGCAAATGCAAATGCTGGGGGAGAGGTAACTCTAAATTAGAAATGCAGCATTCAGGTTAGAGTTCTTCCCGCTGCATGTTTGTTTTGTCTTCTTTCTCCTTCTCTTCATCGGGTAGAGGCGGAGGAGACAACCCCAAAACAGAGTTGAAGACAAATGCAACAATTTGAACTGTTGCTGCGCCAGGGTGATCGGCTGTAGTGTGCGGAAGCGAATGTGCTCGTATGAGACCGTTGTTGCTGCAGCAGACAAAAGAAAACAGATTAATTTGATGCCCTTTTGCTTGTTTTGTATGTGGCTTTATTTGACCAAACAAATGGCACTAACGAACAATTAAAGCAGGATGTCCTCATTTGCATGCACAAGAAAATTAGTAAAACAGATGCTGTCGCAGCGGAAAAAGAAACAACGAACTGAAGGAAACCAACACAAGCGTATATTTAGAGATTGATCAAACAAACGAACCCAAAGGCAAAGGTGCTTTTAACACAAGGAAAGCTACGTTTTCCCTTGCTCCTCTACCTTTGGGTTCGTTTGTTTGATCAATCTCTAGTGTTAAAAGCATAAAAACACAGGGAGAAGACTAAAGAACCAAAAGCGTAAACCCTCAATCACACCCTAGGGTTTGGCGTTGACGTTTTACGGTTGTGGACAACTGCATTTCTTCTATCTTTAGCGAAGGCATAAAGAAAACATAATAGCAAGAGCAAAATATACACAAACATGAAGGCAGCAACAACCTAAATGCCGACTATTCTTACTGCTTAACGAAGAGGCGCAGATAGGGGAAGTGAGGAACATCGCATCTGCCTACATCTGCAAATAACAACATCATTTCTGCTTTTGTTCCTTCTCCTCAACAAGTGCTTTATCTGTTGGGTTTCTTTCGTTCTGCTCCTGCTGCAGTGTCTCCTTGCCTCTGTCTGTGCCTTCGTTTAGCGGTGTATGATGCTAGCGTTTCTCTTTTTTTCGATTGCTGTGCTGTTCGAATCCGCGTGTTACTGGCTCATAGGTTCCTCCCCTCTTTGTATCCTATTTACGTTGTGTCTCGCTAGATTTAAGCCTCAATTCCTGAACGGTAGACCCTAGCCGGGCTACCAGAGTAGTTTTACGTTGTTGAACCCTAGACCCTAAACCGAAGTACTACCCCAGGTGACACGAGTGACGCAACTTGCTTGAGCATTAAACCCTAAACTTTAAACCTAGGTATTGTTGCAGTCGCTGATGATAATTCAAATATGCTAAGACATAACCATAAACCCTAGTCTCACCGCAGTTGACAAGAGTAATTCGGATTTGTGAAGATAACGTTCTGCTGAGGCGGCGAAGTTCTGCGCGGAGACGGCGGCAAGGGGGGCATGAGGGGCGGTAGTAATCAACAAGCCACGCTGCAGTGATTCCTGAAACTGCTCGTGCTGCAGGAGACAGAAGCAAATAAGCATCACAACAGAAGCTGTGTCCTTGCCTCCGTGTTTGCACACAAGACCGCCCCAAACCCTAAACCCTAAGCCCGAAACTTCAGGCAACCTGGCTTACAGGGTTCTAGTTTTCTGAGTTCTTCCTTGACATGACGGTCGCTGGATGCCTCTTCAAGGAAGACCGGCTGCAGCTCTGAAGCTTGGTCTATTATTGCTTGAACAGAGAGGGGCCCTGTGTATTCCTGACTATCCCATACATCTGAATATATCAATTCGAACAAAAAACGCAGACAACATCTTTAGATACAAAAAATAAGAGAAACAAATTAAAGTAGTTGGTGATGGCTTTCATTTAATACCTATTTGTTTCCTATAGTAATAATATACTAGTTACATCACCACGTATACAACTTTTTTCGAACATTTCCTTGAGGAATAGTAAAGAATAAGAATCGCAAAAAGGAGCATGCACAAACAAATAAACCCAAGAAGGAAAGAATGATGGGAGTAAATGAGAGATAAGAAGAACAGGCATGCATAAAGACTAATACAAGTCCTAGCTCGTATAAACCTGGCAGACTCACCCCCTCCTTCTTGTTTAGGAGGAAATAAAAGAATTTGCCCAAGTTCGTGAATCCCAAAGAAATGACAAAGATGAGAAACCATGCAGTTAACCATTGCTAAGCGAACTTTCTTTGTCTTCTGTGCTGCTGCCCCCAAGGCGCTGAAGAAGGAAACCTGCAAAGAGATAACAGAAGTAGGCAAATTGTATATATATATGTACATATACATATCTATAATGATGAATACTTATAACATGTAATAATAAGAATAAGAATAAGAATAAGAATGGGGATAAGGAACAGAACAAGAATGATGACAACGAAGCCAGCAACAGGGAAAACAACAAGAAAGGGACGAAATCAAAACACAAAACATAGCATCTATAACGGAAAAAAAGAAAGAAATAATAAAAAAAGGAAGTTATTGTATTTAACTATTTACTTTTCTCTCGCAGCTGCCGCATCCTGATTGGTAGAATCCAACGATCCATGAATATTTAGAATTACGTAATAAAGGATCTAAATTAGGTGCATGCAGTAGATACACCCCAGGTTTATAAAAATAAAGTTCATCTATTGAATGTTTCTCTATATGATCATAATAACTTTCTTGGGTCTCAAATAGATCACCGTAAGTATCAAACAAACGGCGAGTGCGGCTGTCTGCAGCATCAGCAAACAAATGAGAGAAAATAAAGTTATATATATGTACATATTAAATAAACAAGGAACAAGATGCAGGAAAGTGCATACAGAGAGAAAGAATAAGAAGACTACAATCCAATTAACAAAGAATAAGACTAAGGACAGGAGGAAACAAGACAGAAAAAAACCGAAAAAAAAACATTTTCCCCCTCTTACTCGAGAGGACTTGATAAGCTTTATTTATTTGTTGAAAAATTTCTTCTGCTTTTTTTGCGTCGCCATCTCTTGCCTTAACTCTATCTGGATGGTGCTCTAAGGAAAGTTTACGATAAGCTCTTTTTACATCGGTGTCACTAGCACCCCTGCACAGCAAAGAAAAAAAAAATAAATAAAGAAAAATAAAGATATAGATAAAAGGTTTATATAACTCGTTCCTTTCCCCTCGTTAATCCCTTTTCTTTTTATGTCTTTGCTCGCTCTTATCTGTGTTATATTCCTGATGGCATACCTACACTACAATACACAATATAATGAAGAAAATAGAAGTGTTTTAACACTCATGTAGATGAATAATGTTTTGCATGCATTTGCTTTTTATTATGCCCTTTTTTTGCTGTGTTTTACTTGTGCAGTTTAAGGAGTTGATAGAAGCTGACGGCCTCTTGTGGAGGAGGAGAAGAAGAATCCGCAGGGAGAGAAAGTCCTCCAAAAGCCAAGAGGAGAAGTGAAAATATTCGCCGCGTCATCCGCCTCATTGCGAGAGGGAATAGGCTGAGGTGTACATACACCTGGTTCTTTTTGTCAACGTAATGTATGTAACACTACAGATAATGATACAGATACTATTGTATGAGGGTGTTAGTAGAGAAGGAGGAGGTCACAACCATAACCTTCCTCTCCGTTGTGGAGGGGGAAAACAAAGGGAGAAAGGTTATCGCCAAAGCCTAAACCCTAATCCCTAAACCCCAGAACGTAGGCCCGCTGACGAAGCCTCTCCTCCGGGCCCTTCTTCCTGCGCGCCTCTCCCCAATGAGAATTTGAAATCGGACCTCCTCTGATTCTAATGACAATTGCCTTAAACGAGAAGGAATTAAATATGAAGAGCTTAACGAGGCTGAGGCGTATGCACACCTCAGTGCAGTCTATTCGCGTACAACGGCACCAGTTGCGTTCTGCTGCTGCCGCTGCAGCAACCGAGAAACAAGAAGGAGAGAGTGAGAGATTTAAACCTATTTGGCCTTCTTTTTGTTGGGAAGTTTATAAATTTATTCTTGAAAAAGAAAGTGACAAGTATACTTTCGAGGGAAAGCTCTCGACTTCGCCGTCGCGCGTCGTGGCAGCAGCAGCTGGAGCTGCAGCTAGCAGTCCGGTGTCTCGACACAAAATTAGTATTTTTCCTGCTGTAAAGCAGAAATAAATATATAAAAATATTAAAAATTGTTTGATTAACTTAAAATTAATACCTTTGTAGACCCAACTGGCTCTGCTTTGGAGTTGAGACAACCGTGCCGTCCGTGTGCCATCAATGCTGTGAATCTGTAGAACTCCAGCTCTTTGCGTTCGTGTGCTGGCGGTCCTACAAAGTTTGATTTAAATTGTTTTGATATTTTCTTGAAACATTTTATTTGTGTTTTTTTGGCAAGCCATTTCAAGCGTCCTTGTGGGTTTTCAGCGCATACTTAACACCCCCTTATGTCCGCCGGCGAGCGGCAGTGGTGTGTTTACTTAACCGTGCTTGGCGCATGTTTGAGGATATTGCAAAGAGTTAAATGTATTAGAAAAAGGATACAAAATACTCCATGGAATTAGGCAGAGGAGGGGAAATATCAAAGTGAGGAGTAGTTGGCACGTCACATGGCACATAGATTTCGAATGTGAAACCTTTTCTGGACGACGTTTGCAGGTCCGCATGCAGTTGGCTAATGAATCCTTACTCAGCATTAGGAGGCAGCGAGCTTGTAAGAAGAAGTCTTTGGAAATTGTCTAAAGTGTTAGTGCCTGCAGTCACGAAGGCACGTCTAGCATGGCGTGGGCAATGTCTGTCACTATGTTTCAACTCGGAAGATAACCCCTGACCGGGGATAGATTAGTACACAAATGGTACACAACCACAACGTCTCAGCAACAATATCTCTACAGAGCTTGCACATAGAGCCCACAAAGCTTGTTTTTTCTTATATGGGGGGCTCTGTAGAACCCTGGGTTGCAGCACGGTGGGTTGACACCCCTGGCAGGGCCCCTCCTCTCTTGCATCGCCAGGCGCTTGATGTGCTGACCGCAGGACGTCTAAAGACTGCCGGAAGAACTCAGATCCTCCTCTTAAGCAGTTTGATGTCACGGTAGTCCTAGGATACCATGCAGGGTGCCCGACCAGATCTGTTCGAACGTCGGAAGGCTGTGCCTAAGCCCTGTTTGAGAATCTCCCATGGTTTGACGAGATTCCCGATGCGTGGCCTCGTGTTATTCCATTATCTCAGGCCGCATAGAAGAAACTTAGCAGAACTCTCCCTGGTTGTACATTTTGCATACAACTATTGTGCGAGCAGCAGGTCCACCGTCTAGTCTTCGGAGCAGAACAGATGTACCACAAGGTACCGCATTTTGTATTTTAGCGCTCCATCTCTCGACCAGTTTTGACCTTAGCAACAATTGCAGCCGCATGAAGAAGGAAGTTGAGGTAGTACAACGAGAGAATGGGAGCATGTGCACGTGCAAGTGTACAAGGTAACGGGTACTTCCGAATGGCCCATATCATCACAGGATCTTGTTTGACGACAGGGGAGATATTCGAGTTACACTATCAGGAACGTCTGTTTCACTATTAGTTTTTGTTTTGCGGGGATAGAAGCCGATGCGTATTTGCCTGCCGTCTTTGTTGTTCGCCAACACCGGGTTGTGTCCAGAAGCGCGATAGTTATTCCGATGTGGTGGTGGTTCCCACAACTTGAAGAAAATCGAGCAGAACTGACTCCAATGGTCAGTTCTGCTCGATTTTCTTCAAGTTGTGTGAACCACCACATCGGAACAACTATTGGGGCTAGTCCGGCGGTGTGTTCAATGCATTGCATTATGTTTCGAGCGGGTGGCTAAGCCCTTGGTTGCCATTCGAAAAACATCAGGACTAAGGACAACTTGACTCTACTCCTCCTTCGATTTCTATACTGGGTCAACTCCCCACGGTTGTCATAATACCATCACGGTGACAATTCGATTAGCCGGCGTTTCTCCTGGTACCAGGGGAAACGGCTGTTTGTTATGCAACGCAACGCTGAAATTTTAGGTTGTTCTGTGCAGCAGTAGCGGGAGTAAGTACCTCTCCCAATCTTAATGCATTCGTAGTAGCAAAGTACATGACAGGCTCTATAGGGCGATGAGCTCTTGCGCTATATGATCGCCACACACTCACTGTCCGTAGAATTCAAGTGCTATAGTCTGCCTCTGCTTCTTTTCCTTTTCTTGACGAGGCTATAATTTTCAGCTTTAATGTTTTGGATATTTTTAAAAGATTTTCCCCCCCTTAGTGCCTATCTATTCGCGTAGTCAAGTGTAGCTATGTGCCGCTATAACAAGAACAATCACGGGAGTCTATGACCAGCTGATTGCTCGTCACAGTTTCCAATAGTTCGCGTAACGGTGGCCCACGGCACTGCCAATAGGGGAGAGGTGAAGTGCCATCAAATGGCTTGCAAGGAAGCCCCTCTGCAACTGGTGGTGCACAGAGACCCCACACGAAAAACCAACAAAGTTGCCTTTGCTGCATGCACAAACACTGCTTCCAGTCATTGATGAACACTTAGTTGGGAGCTTGTATGTAGCCTGCACGCAAGTATAAGAACCAGTAGCTCCTCCGAACAAGTCAGGTTACATCTAGCTAGCTGCAGCTAGCTGCGGCTAGCTAGACGAGGCTCCCGTTAAAAGGTCCTTGCATGCCCAGTTAGAGCTCTGGCTGAGCCTCTCGCTCTAAACCGTTGCAGGAGGAAACGACTATAATGTGAAAATGAAATATAATAATGCGTAGGCGGATTGGATTGTACGTACGCCCCACTTGCAAGACACGTGGCTGGGAGCCTTGTTCTTTTCCTCTATCAGAAGAAGCTGTAGAAGTACACTTTTCTGTTTGTTATGAATATAAAAATGAAGAAAAGGTATGAAGGAAAAGAAGAAACAAGGTTACAAAAACATCGGTAAGCGTATGCCTATGTCTGTGTATTTACATGTATCTTTGCCATTGGTGGATTGTTCGTCAGTGCGTGGGCTATACGTACACCTGAAATAGGCATTTAAAGACATGTAATTTAAGCGAAGGGAATAAATTCAATTAATTTAATGAAAAGGGGAGAAGAAGACGGGAACGCAGACAGTGGTCTGTAGGGCTGAGGCTTCCAGCTCCCCGAGCGGCGGCCGACAGCTCCAGCTAGGGTTTAGGGTTTAGGCTTTAGGGTTCAGAGTTGTCGACAAAAAGGGTGTTATTTGTTCACAAAAATGTGTTTTATGAAGATAAATACTTTGTTTGAGTCTGTATCTCTCTGTCTCTTATGCTGCCTGCTCCCTGTTGCAGTGCTGGTGCCTGTGTCTCGGGTTTAGGGTTTAGGGTTTAGGGTTTAAAGTATAGTGCGATTTGGCCATTTTCCTCTTGTGTGTGAGCTTAATTAAACCTTTTTTTGCGAGCCAGCTGATTCTGCTGTATACTACAGCAGGGTTTAGACTCCTTCTTCCCCCCCAGCAGCAATGGGGTGTATTCATCATGCCTTTATATTTTTACTTCTTATTTTTTTGTCTATTAAAGATGAGGCTCTTGCCTACCGCATCGTAAACACTTTTAAGGGGAGGGCTACTCCCTCCTTTCCTCTCTTCCCTTCTTCTTCTCGCGTCGGCAGCAAACCCCTCCAAACCCTCAAGGCGCAACAAACCCAACAAACCCCAGTAAACCTTAAACCCTAACATCTAAACCCTAATAAACACTCCTATAAGAAGGCATAGAGACTGAGAAATAAAAACTTCAGGGTTTAATGTTTAAGGTTTAGGGAATGCGACATAGGAAGCAGGCCTCACCGATTAGAGGATCTAACGGGGGTTAGGGTTTAGGGTTTAGGGTTTACAGCATAGGGCTTGCGTGTTAGGTGTCCTAATTGTGTATGAGTTTATTATTTAGTGTTTGCCTTTCCAATATATGATTTGTATGTCTTCCCCGGTCATTAAAAGCTAAGAATTTACAAGACAAGGGTTTACGAGGGTTTAGGGTTTAGGGTTTAGGGTTTGTATACAGGGTGAAGCCGTTGTATCAGGAGAGTACGTAAATGGTAAAAGTGTTAAAGAATGGACAGTTAAGCGCTCTTTGTATCAAGCCCTTCATATGGCTATGGCGGAGGAGATGGAGAGAGACCCGAGGGTTTGTGTTATAGGTATACAAACCCTAAATAGACCCTATATAAACCCTAGACCCTTAACCCTAACTAAACCCTAAACGGTCAATCGGAAGTGCTACAGTACAGAGTGTGTTGGTGTTTTTAGGGTTTATGGTGTATAAAGTGTCCGATTGAAAATTAGCGTTTAGTGTTTAGGGTTTAGGGTTTAGGGTTTAGGGTTTTGTTGTGTATAATATATGTATATATATGTATGTACAGGAGAAGATGTAGGTCATTATGGTGGTTCTTATAAAGCAACAAAAGATTTACATTATCGTTATGGTAATTTTAGGTGTCTAGACACCCCAATATGCGAGAATACATTCTTAGGTTTAGGTGTAGGTGCAGCAATTCATGGTTTACGCCCTATAGTAGAGGGTATGAATATGGGGTTTCTTCTTCTAGGGTTTAATCAGATTTCTAATAATGCAGGAATGTTAAGAGCAACCAGCGGTGGTCAATTTAATGTTCCTCTTGTTATTAGAGGACCAGGAGGGGTAGGCAAGCAATTAGGTCCTGAACATTCACAAAGAATTGAGGCTTATCTACTCGTAAGCTAAACCCTAAACACTAATCTCTAAATACTGTTTCTATGGAGGGTGTATACTTGTATTTAGTCGCCTGATTGTGCAAATAATTCACAGAAATAATGCATATTAGGGTTTAGGGTTTAGGGTTTAGGGTTTGGGTTTCAAAGAGTATTAGGGTTTCGGGTGTATAATAATGTTATAAACCCTTTTATTTTTTTAAGACTTTTTTAGTGTTTATTATATTCTTTTTAACAATATTTAATTAATTATGATTTTTTTGACTTTTAGGGTTTATGAGGGTTTATGAGGGTTTATGAGGGTTTATGAGGGTTTATGAGGGTTTAGGGTTTAGGGTTTAGGGTTTTTTTTTTTTTTCGTGTGTATGTGTGTATATATATAGGCAATTCCCGGTTTAAAGATGGTTGCCTGCAGTACTCCTCGTAATGCTCGTGGTTTATTAAAGTCTGCAATAAGAGAAGATAATCCTGTTGTATTTTTTGAGCATGTATTGACGTATGGTATACAAGAAGAAATACCTTTATTACCTTATACACAACAATTAGATAAAGCAGAAATAGTAAAAGAAGGAAAAGATATAACTATTTTATCTTATAGTAAATTAAGACATGTTGCTATGCATGCAGCACAGACCCTCAATAATAATATGAATATAGATGCAGAGGTTATTGATCTAATTAGTCTTAAACCCTTAGATATAAATACTATTAAACAATCCATAAAAAAAACTAAAAGATGTCTTATTCTTGATGAATCCAGCAGAACGGGAGGAATCGGTGCAGAAATATTCACTCAGGTACGTAAACTAGGGTTTAGGGTTTAGGGTTTAGGGTTTAGGGTTTAGGGTTTGGGCGAGAGGGCTAAAGAAAAAACTAAATGAAATAATTTCTTGCTGCTACTACTACTGCTACTACTACTGCTAATACTACTGCTAATGCTGCTGTTGCTGCTCCTGTTGCTGCTGCTGCTGCTGCAGGTAGTAGAGAATTGTTATGAGGATTTATTACTTCCTCCTGTACGTTTATGTACAAAAGATATACCTACTCCTTATGCAAAAGAATTAGAAGAAAGTACAATTGTTAATCATGATGATGTTGTTAATGCTGCATTATGGATGGTTAGTGCACCATCCAAGTAATTACGCAGCAGCAGCAGCAGCAGCAGCAGCAGCAGCAGCAGCAACAGGGCAGCAGCAGCTGAGGAAGGTGAAAGAATGCCTTCCATGCATTGAAGAAGAAGTCGCATGCATGCATGCATGCATAGTTGCATGCATGCATAGTTGCATGCATGCACAGTTGCATGCATGCATGCAACTGCAGCAGCAGCAGCAGCAGGCAGCGGCATGCATGCATGCATGCAATTGTGCAGCAATTGCTGCTGTATAATAAACTTTGTTAGATGTATGCATGCATGTGTATATACATATAAATATTTATATTTATATTAGTAGATGTTTATTTATATTTATATATATAAATATATATATGTATATATATACATATATTTATATGTAAATATATACGTAGTTGTATATACTGTACGCATGCATGTTTAATATATATATATATATATA